GACAGGACCGGCGATCTCGTCTTCGCCCGCCACAGCAGCACCTGGCCCCCTAGACGCACACACACACACACACACACACACTAGAATTGCCAAAAGCCAGGGTTAAGTAGGAGACGTCGCCGTCTGACTCCCAGTCCACTGGCCGAAAACTCTAGATACAATGCACACTGAGCTGATGACATGGTTTGCTATAAATAATCAGTTGGCAGCCTTCAAAGCCACGATTTTTAGTAAGCAACGATCAAGGCACAAATTACTTTTATAACATAGGGAGCACACGGGGCGGGGTGATGTTGCGCATGGCCGTGTGTAATGTAGATGCTGCTGAGGAGAGGTGTGGCCATGCAGCCGGGGGAAGTTCTACTACAGACTCTCATAGAGGCACATGCGACCTAATAGGCCGATGTGGTGAATGAATCTGTGCGCTACATGTGCAAATCACACATATATAAACGCATTTCTTTCTACGATCATCCACTGATCATGTGGGAGGTTCCGAAGGGTAACGACGGTTTTCCAATGCTTGTAGTAAGGAGAATCAACCGGCGTCTCGAAAACGGAATTAAATTTGGTTGTTGCTGTTGTTGACGCTGATAGGCTCCTTACGTGAACGACGACCATAACAGATGCTGGCGATGATAAACACAGCAAAAATGATGATTATGACGCAGGGTCGATAGGGTTTTACATCTTGGAAACTGAATCTGCTCATTTTACAGCTAATCATCTAGCATTTGTGGACCTCCTTTATTCGGTCGAAAGTCGTATAATACTCGAAAAGAACGTTGAAAAAGTTAGAAATACTTAAGTAGCGGTTAATTTGTTCCATTCCTTATGCAGCTATATTGGTTCATCTTTTAAATACACAAAGTGCAGGGGTTTCAATGGTCCAATAGAAATTATAAAAAATTAGGTCAGAAAGTTTTAAACCCTCCTGTGTTTCTTCGAGGAGACAGACAGTTGATCAGGCCTACACAACGAAATCGTCAAAAAAGTTTTGTTGAGTAATACATTTCGTGTAGAAAAGAGGAGTTTGGATAAAACACTATCGTATTTAATCGTTAAACTCGTGAAATAGTTAGTGACATCCACTTCTTTTCACACACTCAAATAAAGAAAAAGCACTTTTACATGCAGTCTTTCTTTTTAATTGAAGTTCTTGCGGTGTTTTTCATTAAGCGCTGCTTTCTTTATCTGATTATCCGTGTTTGAATACTTCTCACTGTTGTCGTTCTTTAATTAAAATCTACCAACTGGTTTCAAGGTAAATATATTATTGTAATTCAGAATTGCATTCAAAGGACCTTATATTGCCGTCAAGCTTTCTCGGTGCACTGCCCAATAGGATCCTTCTGAACGTGTGCTTTCGCGTTAATATCAGCAGCCAGGATACCGCCGACGCCTGCAGGCGTTTTGCCTTCAGCTCGCCGCCAGAAATCATCAATTGCGCCACCAATGCCTCGAACCAAGTTAAACTTTTTGAGGTTATCTGGGTGAAATGCAGGATCCTGATGCGCGAGGGAAATGATGCAACCGAGTTCAGGGTTGATGGTAAGGTTCAAGACATTTGCTTGTTCACCTAAAACTATGAATTATTTAGATGAAGCCACTGCAAAAACAAGATAAACTAGTGGGTACTTTTGCCTTTTTATCGTCTTCGACGAATATGTTATCTGAAGCAACGATCACGACAAACATTATCAAGGATTCTAAACAGGGGACATTCGGGTGTAAACTGAGCCAAACTTTGAAGCAGGCCTATAAAGTGGAACCTCAGTTAACGAGTTTTGGTGCGTCCTGGCACCAAGATCGTCGCGTGAAACGTTCATTTTGCGAAATGTAGCCAAGCAAACTGCATTAGTTCACTGATAGGTTGCAGGTGACCAAGGAAACACGCCCTGGGCAGCAAGACTCAACGGCGGACACAGGCACGCGCATGCACTGATAGCTCGTCAAACGAAACAAATCTTCTGCTAGTGGCTCGCTCGTTACCCAAAATGCTCGCAGATTGGCTGCCCGTGACCTGAGGCTCCCCTATACATTTATAAGCCTGCTGTATAAGAAAGCAGCTTTATTATCATGCTGTCTGTGTTCGAAAAAACTCAACATAAGGAGGAAAAATTAGGCGATCATCCGATTTAGGGTTCATGTTAAATTTATCGAATAGTTACTGTGCATCGAAATCCTGATTTCGCAGCATAAAGG